TTAACCAAGATTCTAAGTCGATAAAAGGCCTTAATTTTTAAAACAAATCCTTGACAGAGTTACCTTCTCTTGCGTACAGATGGGGGTAATGATGTGAAATAGCATTAAAAGTTTCAAAGCAATATCTCAAAGGGTTAAGGCAATAAGTGGATTTTACCCATATTCAATGTATTTTCTAAGTCAAAAAGGGGCATAATTCTGTCAAAAACCTTGACAGAGTTATGTCCTCTTGTCTGTTGATGAAGGTCGTGATGGTAAACAAGTATGGTCAGTTTCAAAGCAATACCTCCAATGGTTTTGAAATAAAGTGAGGTGGTACAAAAAACTTAACCAAGCTCAATACACTTTCTAAGTCAAAAAAGGGCCATAATTCTGTCAAAAACCTTGACAGAGTTATGTACTCTTGTCTGTAGATGGAGGTTATGATGGTAAACAAGTATGGTAAGTTTCAAAGCCATACTTGTAATACTTCTGAAATAAAGTGGGGTGGTACGAAAAACTTAACCAAGGTGTGACGCCGACGCCGACGCCGGGGCGAGTAGGATAGCTCCCCTTTTCATAGAAAAGTCGAGCTAAAAACTGTCCACTCTAAATTTGTTCTTGAAATTTTGCATATCGACTAAAACAAAGTATGAAACTGTCAGGAAATTATCTTCAGACCATGTAGATTTCAAAAGTGAGGTTGGCCCAAAAATATCTCTGCTCATTCAAGATGGCCGCCATTTTCAAAATCATAATGGCTCATTCAGTAGAAATTTTTGTACAGACCTGAAACTTATGCCCCGGTCACATATTCACGGATAATGCCACGGAAGAGCTAAGGTCTAATCGTTCACGGATTTCTACGGAAATGTTAAATTCCGTAGTTCGCTACGGTTCCAGTACGGACACACAACGGGTATGAGTACGGAGTCCGACGGATTTACCTCCAAAATCCCCCGGAAAGACACAGATTGTTACGGACCAACACGGTTTGATACGGAGCGACACGAATCAGAATGGACACACTATGGTCTGCTACGGTATAAGCACGGGTTAGTACGAATAGGTACGGTCTAGTTTGGAGAAGAACGAATTGCCACGGATCTATACGGACCTAATACATCCGTCCCCAACCTCTTGCATGCTCATTTTCAAAATGCCTCACAAGAAAAGAACACCTAGAAAACGAATTGCAGAGTTCAATGATTTTGGTGGAGAGGATTCGGCCTAATCGCGTCGGACCCCCGAGACACATCAGGTCCGATTAAAGTGAATTTCTTGAAGGACGTTTGATCCTCAACAAGTTAGGCCATGAGAGCCTCATACTAAACATGAAGGGGTCTTCGTAAAAGCCCATCTCTAGTCTACCATCTCTTATCTGATTAGATATGGACTAGTTATCATTAATGAAAAATATTGATCAATACGGCTTCTCTTTAAATTTTAAAATTTGCTGTTCATTTTACAATTACATTAATTATCGTGAATGTTAATGTTTTAAAAATATGTAAAAAGCTTGTTAATTAATCTTATTATTACTCAAGGGCCAGTGTCCGAGGCTTATGAGACACTTTGTTTAATGTTCATATTTACTCCAATTTCATGATCCAATGTTTGTAAAATATGTAACATTAAATGTTATTCTATTACTTATGAATTGTAGTACGATATTAATATATTTTTACCTCTATGCATGTCATCAAGCAGCTCGACCACTGCCTCCGCACTCTGAGCCATTTCAATTAAAAAATTGCAGCAAGTAAATGGCAATTATCATTTATTGAATGTTCTCGCAATTTTTAATATGTCTGTTTTTAACAAGAAGGTAGTATTTATACCTTTGAAAAAGTACACGATACTTAATTCATCCGTACTAAACAGTGGTGGACCGTACCATTCTGTACTGATTCGTGTTGCAATGCAATAAACCGTATAAGACCGTGCTTATCCCTGCCTCTCCGTAGTACAACGTATTACGATCGTGGCTTTCCGTGACAATGCCGTATTAATCCCTATTAAAATCGTAGCTTATACATAGGGCAACCGTACAAATGCGTAGTTTTCCGTACCAAACCGTGGAAATCCTTGACAAGAATCAGTACAGAATAGAACAGTTTTCGTATGGACCAGTACGTATTAGTACAGTATAATACGGACTATAGCAGGGATAGGCTACAGTTGATTTTTTCCGTAGCAAATTTTTGTGCATGTTCAAAAATTGACAAGGATCGCTACGGATATACAAAGACTACTATGATTGATTACGGTTACAAAAGAGCTACTGACCAGTACGGGTAGCTAGGGACGATGCCGGAATTAATGTGTGGCTCTTCTGTGGGCGTATTCCGTGGATATGTGACCGGGGTATTACACCAAAGCATATATGAATTGTCTCCCTTAAATTATATTTCTCTAATTTGGTTTTCTAGATCTATAAACAAAATTTAAAAAGTTACTTTATTTCTTATTCTGTTTTTATGACTTTGAAGGGTGGCATATTAAAATCGAACCATCCGTCTGTCTGTCTGTAAGTCTGTCAGTCTGTCCATCTGTCTTTATACATATAGACAGTGGTGGCTGTGTCCGCTCTGAAACTTCAGTATGCATGAAAGGATTTTAATTTTTCTTTCATTTTATGAAATAACCATAGATGTATGGACTGTGTCGCGATTAAGACTTGGGTTCCTATGACTAAGGTCAAGGTCACTGTGGGGGTTCAAACTTGTCATTTTTTATGTTATATAAATATGGAAGGTGGTGGTTGTGTCCGCTTGCATGGAAGGATTGTAATTTTTCTTTCATGTTTTTTTTTTTATGTTAATATACATATAGGCAGAGATGGTCGTGTCTGCTCTGAAACTAATATGCATGAAAGGATTATATTTTTATTTCACATATGAAATAATCATAAATGTATGATGTGTTGCCGTTAAGACCTGTGTTCCTACGCCTTACTTCAAGTTCGCTGCTGGGGTTTAAACTTTTTCAATATTTATGTTATATACATATAAATGGTGGTTGTTGTGTATGCTCTGTAACTTCCCTATACATGAAAGTTTCAATTTTTGTTTAAAAATATAAAGTCAGAATAGATGGACAATGTGTTGTGAACAGGACCAAGGTTTCTTTGTCTAACTTTAAAGGTCACTGCTGGGGTTTGAACTTTGTCAATTTTTACCACCACACTTAACATGTAAACTAGAATCCTTTATGGGGGGGGGGGGGGCATTTGCCACGTTCTGTGACAGCTCTTGTTTACATTCAATTAACAATAGGTGTTTATTGTTACCATGTAAGAAAAACGTTAAATCTGTAGGTTTTCAAAGTGGGTGGGGTAAATTTATCCGATATAAGATAAAAACAACAAAATTTACAAAATTCTATTTCTTTGCTATTTTTGTGAATTCTTATGCAAATGTTCCCTATTAAAAAGTATTCTTTATTAGACAAAGGTATTGTCCAACAACATTGACCTGGCACTCTTGCATTTGACCCTGTAGTCGGTATATTCCGTAAACTTTACGATATACTTTTAAATCGATAAGAATATAGATATCCAATTGTTTAAAGGTGTAAATTAAAAATCCCTGTTAGCGCAGTTGGTAAAGTGTTTTCACTTGTAGATTGTACACGTAACCTGGTAGGTTCAAATCCCATTTCAACGATTTTTTTTATTTCAATGTTAACATTGCCATTCTCTTAAAACTGTTACAAACCTTTTTGTTGTGTGTACTATATGTGTAGTATTTTTAATAACTGTCTTTATAGCGTGCATGCCGTAAAGCATAAACATTTGCATATAATATCACAGAGAGAATCGTTGAAGAAATAAACATATAATTGTGTATGAAAACACCACTTACAAAAAGGTATTCTAAATCCAGTTGTAGTAAACCAATTTCAAATTAGTTCTTGCAAGTAAATAAAAAAAAATCACAACGTGGTGTTGGTAAGGAATCGAACCAGAGACCTTTAGTCCGACATCTATACCAATACACCACATCTCACTGATCAGTGATGTTAGCAAATAAATCGATATATATTCGATAGATATTGGTCAGTGTTTATTCAAGTGACCTTTACGAAAGTTACTGAAGTGCCAGGTCAATATTGTTCCACAATATTTTTGTTTTCATTTGGGTCAAGTGGGTGGGCTAAAATATCAATAAATCCATAATTCATTACAATCATGTTATTGATTTTAGTTTTTGAATTTGGTTGTGTGATATTATTGTATTGAATATAAAGATGTTCTTTCAATCATCACCATCACCACCATCATCATCATCATTATCATCAACATCATCATCATCACCACCACCATCATCATCATCATCATCATCAACAACATCATCATCATCACCACCACCATCATCATCATCATCAACATCATCATCACCATCACCACCACCATCATCATCATTATCATCAACATTGTCATAATCACCATCATTATGATTACTAATTACTATCACCATCATTATTATTATAATTTTGGTTTGGCATATCATATTAATTTTATTATCATCATTATCATGTGTAACATTTTTATTTTTGTCTAGCAATTAATTAAAATTTTGATAAATAAACTTTCAGTAGTACTAAAAGAATCTTTGATGTTGGTATTTAAACTTATGTTAATCAGATACCTTTATAATTATCATTATCATGATATTTCACCAAATTAGGGTCTAAATAGAAGTTAGGTTTTGGCAATGAAACATAATATTTCCATACAAACTATAACAGGACATCAAAAATAAACAGATTTTAGATACAAAAATAAAACATTTCTGCGGCATAATTAATAAATTTTATTACAAATATTAATTAAACTGATTAGACTGTAAGCCAATCAGTGCAAAAGACATAAAAAACCTGAACTAAGAACTGTTATTTTGTGGTCATTTTTATACAGTAGTTACCAGTGCTTTGCATAAGTGTTAAATTACTCTATTTGTGTGGCCATTTTATACCAGGACTACTCTTTTTATTTTCAATACCATGTGTTTTTACAGTACAATAGTACAGTTACTCAGCTTAGATCTTTGGCACCAGGAGTGCAAGGCAAAGAAAGAAATATCTGAGAAGATCACAAACAAGTTACATGAAGATGCTAGTTTGTGGATTGACAAAGAACTTGAAGATATTGATGAGACTAATTTAGAAATTAAAGATAAAATCATACCAGAGATTGAAAGATATATCAGTAAGTATACTTAACAGTTGAAAGTTTTAAACTTTATTACGAAAGACCCGTGGGGACATTTCAACTTCACGAATTCAACTTCGTGAATTCACGATTTCAACTGCAAGAATTCACGATTTTAACTTCATGAATTCACGATTTAAGCTTCATGAATTCTCGATTTCAACTTCAAGAATTCACGATTTCAACTTCATGAATTCAAGATTTCAACTTCATGAATTCACGATTTCAACTTCACAAATTCAAGATTTCAACTTCATGAAGTTGAATTCGTGAAGTTGAAATCGTGAATTCATGAAGTTGAAATCGTGAATTCCTGAAGTTGAAATCGTGAATTCATAAAGTTAAAATCGTGAATTCTTGCAGTTGAAATCGTGAATTCACAAAGTTGAATTCGTGATGTTGAAATCGTGAATTCATGAAGTTGAAATCATGAATTCGTGAAGTTGAAATCGTGAATTCATGAAGTTGAAATCGTGAATTCGTGAAGTTGAAGTCGTGAATTCATGAAGCTGAATCGTGAATTCGTGAATTCCGTATTTTGAAAACGGGAATACATGAAGTTTAAATTGTGAATTCATGAAGATGAAATCGGGAATTCATGAAGTTGAAATGGCCCTACCCGTCTTTCGTACTTTATTGATTTATTAGCTTGTTACTGTTTATTATGCGTTCCGAAGGGACATAACTATAAAACTATAAGAGATATCAACATGAAACTTAGGTAGATGGATCTCATTCAGTAGATGTGCAGTGCACAAGAACCATAACTCTGTCTTGCCTAATTTTGCGAGTTATTGCTCTTTGTTTATTTTTATATGCCCAAAAGGGCATATTATGTTATACCCCCTGGCGTCCGTCCGTCCGTACGTCCTTCTGTTGGCAATTTGGTTTCCGGAGCATAACTTAAGTTCCAATTGGCCCACAATGTTCAAACTTCATAGGATGATTGTCCATATTAGGTAGAAGACCCCTATTGATTTTGGGGTTACAAGGTCAAAGGTCAAGGTCACTTTTACCTTAATACTGAAAACAGTTTCTAGAGCATAATTAAAGTTCCAATTGGCCCACAATATTCAAACTTCTTAGGATGATTGTCCATATAAATTATAATAAGGTAGAAGACCCCTATTGATTTTGGGGTCACAAGGTCAAAGGTTAAGGTCACTATTACCTTGATACTGAAAACAGTTTCTGGAGCATAACTTAAGTTCCAATTGGCCCACAATGTTCAAACTTCATAGGATGATTGTCCATTTTAGGTAGAAGACCCCTATTGATTTTGGGGTTACAAGGTCAAAGGTCAAGGTCACTTTTACCTTAATACTGAAAACAGTTTCTAGAGCATAATTAAAGTTCCAATTGGCCCACAATATTCAAACTTCTTAGAATGATTGTCCATATAAATTATAATAAGGTAGAAGACCCCTATTGATTTTGGGGTCACAAGGTCAAAGGTTAAGGTCACTATTACCTTGATACTGAAAACAGTTTCTGGAGCATAACTTAAGTTCCAATTGGCCCACAATGTTCAAACTTCATAGGATGATTGTCCATTTTAGGTAGAAGACCCCTATTGATTTTAGGGTTAGAAGGTCAAAGGTCAAGGTCACTATGACCTTAAAACTGAAAACAGTTTCCGAAGCATAACTCAAGTTCCAATTGACCCACAGTGTTCAAACTTCATAGGATGATTGTCCATATTGGGCAAAAAATCCCTATTGATTTTGGGGTCACTAGGTCAAAGGTCAAGGTCACAATTACCTTAAAACCAAAAACAGGTTCCGGAGCATAACTTAAGTTCCAATTGGCCCACAATGTTCAAACTTTATAGGATGATTGTCCAAATTAGGTAGAAGACCCCTATTGATTTTGGGGTCACAAGGTCAAAGGTCAAGGTCACTATTACCTTGTTACTGAAAACAGTTTCTGGAGCATAACTTAAGTTCCAATTGGCCCACAATGTTCAAACTTCATAGGATGATTGTCCATATTAGGTAGAACACCCCTATTGATTTTGGGGTCACAAGGTCAAAGGTTAAGGTCACTATTGCCTTGATACTGAAAACAGTTTCTGGAGCATAACTTAAGTTCCAATTGGCCCACAATGTTCAAACTTCATAGGATGATTGTCCATTTTAGGTAGAAGACCCCTATTGATTTTGGGGTTAGAAGGTCAAAGGTCAAGGTCACTATGACCTTAAAACTGAAAACAGTTTCCGAAGCATAACTCAAGTTCCAATTGACCCACAGTGTTCAAACTTCATAGGATGATTGTCCATATTGGGCAAAAAATCCCTATTGATTTTGGAGTCACTAGGTCAAAGGTCAAGGTCACAATTACCTTAAAACCAAAAACAGGTTCCGGAGCATAACTTAAGTTCCAATTGGCCCACAATGTTCAAACTTTATAGGATGATTGTCCAAATCAGGTAGAAGACCCCTATTGATTTTGGGGTCACAAGGTCAAAGGTCAAGGTCACTATTACCTTGTTACTGAAAACAGTTTCTGGAGCATAACTTAAGTTCCAATTGGCCCACAATGTTCAAACTTCATAGGATGATTGTCCATATTAGGTAGAACACCCCTATTGATTTTGGGGTCACAAGGTCAAAGGTCAAAGTCACTTTTACCTTAATACTGAAAACAGTTTCTAAAGCATAATTAAAGTTCCATTTGGCCCACAATATTCAAACTTCTTAGGATGATTGTCCATATAAATTATAATAAGGTAGAAGACCCCTATTGATTTTGGGGTCACAAGGTCAAAGGTTAAGGTCATTATTAATAACTTAAGTATTAATCAACCTACAGCTGTAAAATTTTATAGGATGAACAGCGAATTCCCATGTCTTACAAATGCTTCATCCTTACTAAAAAAAAAAAAACACTTTCGGGCATATAATGCTCCGCCTAGCGGTGCTCTTGTTACACTTTGAACTTTGTCAGAAACATATCTCTGAAACTATAAGAGATATCAACATGCAACTTTTAGGTAGATAGATCACATTGTGTAGAAGTGTAGTTCAAAAGAACCATTACTCTGCCTTGCCTAATTTTGGTGTTATTGCCCTTTGTTCATTTTTGTGCCCCCACTTTAGTGGCGAGCATTTAGATTTACCCTTGTCCGTCCTTCCATCCGTCCGTTCTCTTTTGTGTCGCACGTAACTCAAAAAGTATTTGACCTAGAGTCATGAAACTTAACTAGAATGTTGATCAGCATGTGAAGTTGTGCACCTGGGTATTTTCGTCTGGATATTTTTAGTATTTTCAGTGTTATTGCCCTTGACTTAATAAAATTTCCAATTTTCAACTTGCGTCGTACGTAACTCAAAAAGTATTTGACCTAGAGTCATGAAACTTTACAATAATGTTGATCAGCATGTGTAGTTGTGCACCTAGGTATTTTCGTCTGAATATTTTTAGTATTTTCAGAGTTATTGCCCTTGACTTGTGTCGCATGTAATTCAAAAAGGATTTGTCCTAGAGTCATTTAACCTTACGAGAAGGTTGCTCAGCATATTTATTTTGCACCTGGGGTTTCACTTGTGGATTTATCCAGTATTTGTAGAGTTATTTCCCTTGACTTAGTTGAAACCGTTTCATTATGTTGTTATTTGTTCCTTGAGTGCTTGAGTTAGAATCAATGAACTTAACAGGAGTAATGATCAACATCACTTAATTACAGGAATAATGATTCACATCACTGTGAAGCTATGCACCTGGGACTTTGCATGTGGATTTTTTTCAGTTTTGTTAGAGTTATTGCCCTTGACTTACAGTAGTATAAATTTGCAATTTTCAAGCTAAAAAAGTATTTCACTTGTAGGCCTGAAAGTTTACAAGAATGTTGGTCAGCATGTTTACTTATGCACCTTGGGGTTTGGTTGTGGATTTATTCAGTATTTGTAAAGTTCTTGCCCTTTACTTAGTAAAAGATTTTTAGTTTTCAAAAAATATTTGAACTAGAGTCATAAGATTGACAGAACAGTGGCGCGGTGGGGGCACCCGTGTCCTATGGACACATTTCTAGTTATACTTTGAACTTTGTCCGTGACCTAACTCTAAAACTCTAAGAGATATCAACATGAAACTTTGTTACTAGATTGATCTCATTGGGTAGGGGTGCAGTGCAAGAGAACCATAACTCTGCCTTGCCAAATTTTGGAGGAGTTATTGCCCTTTGTTTATTTTTATCCCCCGCTGAAAAATTTCGGCGGAGGATATAGAAATAGTCTTCGTCCGTCCGTCCGACCTTCCGTCCGTCCTTCTGTCCGACATTTTTGTCCGCAGCATATCTCTAAAAGTATTTGAGTTATCAACTTGAAACTTCATAGGTGGATAGACCTCATTGAGGAGGAGTGCAGTGCACAAGAATGATAACTCTACCTTGCATGATTTTTGAGTTATTGCCCTTTGTTATTTTTCAAAATTGATTTTTGTCCAGAGCATAACTCCAAAAGCCTATGAGATATTAACATGAAACTTCATAAGTGCATAGATCTCACTCAGGAGGTGTGCAGAGCACAAGAATGATAACTCTACCTTTCATAATTTTTGAGTTATTGCCCTTTGTTATTTTTCATACCTAATTTTTCACCTGAGTGGAGCATAACTCAAAAAGTGTTTGAGATATCAACATGAAATGTCAGAGGTGGATAGATCTTATTGAGGAGGAATGTTGTGCGCAAGAATGATAACTCTTCCCTTTACAATTTTTGAGTTATTGCCCTTTGTTTTTTTTTATGCTATTTTGTCCAGAGCTTATCTCAAAAAGTATTTGAGGTATCAACTTGAAACTTCAAAGGTGGATGGATCTCATTGAGGAGGAGTGCAGTGCTTAAGAATGATAACTCTACCCTGCATTATTTTTGAGTTATTGCCCTTTGTTATTTTTCAAAATTAATTTTTGTCCAGAGCATAACTCAAAAAGCCTTTGAGATATCAAAATGAAACTTCATAGGTGCATAGATCTCACTCAGGAGATGTGCACTGCACA